TCGTGCAGTTTGTGCTCAAGACACGTTTTAATAATGCAGGAACAAGAAGAGGGAACTTGGGACCCAACTTTTCGCAAAGTGAGAGGTAGTGGATGGCAGGACGCGGCAATTTTAACTCTCTCTACGTGTCAATGCCGCCAACAATTAAAGTTAAGTCTTTTGATGCAAGTTTTGGAAGGCGGACAAGCAGGCATTCAGAATTTTAAGCATCCATAGATTCTCCAGCTCGAACGAAGAAGTATGGATGAAGGAAAATACATCTGCAATGCAAAAGAGCTAGAACAGCAAATTGAAAGATTATGAGAAGTGATCCGATCAAAAGAAAGGTCACACTTTCGTCAAAATAAAAGGCAACTGGTATCCGTAATTGGCCATTACAATTCATTGAATGTGAAGGAGTTAAAAAAAGTATTACCACAAGATGTAAAATTGAGATTAATTCCAATAACGAAAAGAAAAGACTACGATAAAATACGTCATAATTGATTGATACACACCATTTTATTGGTAAGCCTATTATAATAATATTGCAAGAATTACATTCTTGAAACCATTGATTCCAGATGACACTACGAGCTTTCACATATACTTTGGTTTCTAAAACTGAGAAATTGTGTAAACAAATGATCACAAATGTACCGGGAAACTAAAAATGGTTCTTTGAATTCCCGCAATAGAGGTGTATATCTAAGCGAATTGGCGGGAGTAAATCGAGCAAGAAGTAAAATTGTGGAAGGGGCTGGGTAGATCTAATACCATGGAATTGGTTAACAAATAAAATTCAATTCAAAATCGAAGAGGACTTTGTGGACTACGAGTAAAGTGGTTGGCTTGGGCCCATGACGAAATCTGAAAGAGAAAAATATCAAAATATTCTGCAGACAAAATAATCTTGAAAATCAAATTTTATAAGTGATCATCCTATTATAGCGACATAATCTCGACAAATGTGTTTTTTCTCTTTGTCACATTTAGCGCTATCGTTATGTCAGCGGAATTTAGAAACTTTTTTAATATAATTTAAGAAACTGAATTATTTAAACAATTTTATGAGATATATACCCATTCTTATAATATTTTGTATACTAATAATTCGATTAAAATATTAAGTCCGTGACGTAATGTAAACGTAAACACGTGATCAGCGGTGACGCTGGTTGACCTGCGCTGTCCGGGTGACGCCGCGTCGAAGGCTGACTTGCCGGCGTTTCGACCATCCTGTCGTGGTCTTCCTCAGGGCTGGTATGCTAATTAATGTAAGTAGCACTTGTTCTCTCTTACGGCTCGTTGATTTTTCTCCTTTCTTTCCTATTTTTTACCACCTTGAATACGTAATTTACAAAACGTATTGTGTTCTTTAAACTTTGATCCTGAGATTGGGACGAAAGCACCCTCTTTGAGAGGTCGTGATATCAAACACGTTTTTCAACCACGCCTGTCCGTCCTATCGCACCTTTACCATCCTCTGACACCTCTCAGAGCGCCAGATTGCCGCTTGGTACACACGACAAAGTCCTCTCATTGCGTCGTAAAATTTTCTGTTTACTCTTCGATGGAACTTCCTTTGTGAGCAGAGATTCCGGCGATTTGACACCACTTCGCACCCTTTTTTAGGGCTCTCGAGGAACGCACACTCGGGTGAGAATAAAAAGTGGTCAGTGAACGCTGTGTCTGCAGTAAATAATATACAGTAACAAGCTCGTAAGACTTTCTCCAATAACAAAAGTGAGTGTTGCAAGAGATGAAACACGACATTCGTTTACATTCAGAAACATTGTATTCAGGACGGTTTTGTACATCTTACCGTTTTCTATACGATATGGTGCTGCTAAATACTACATTATGTATTTTTATAGATAATACATACGATGGACATATCTGTGGTCCTATTTTCCTCTCCTATCTGCCGGATCATCTCTTCCAAAGTCCGCATGATATTTACTCATAACCGAATCGTACATTGAAGAACGAGAGTCCTGCACACTGACGTCATCAGATGCAAAGTGTATGTATACTCTCAAATTAATCTAGGGAGTCAATTCCCTCGCGTAAGCTTTTATGTTCCCGGTGGTTCTTATCTTTCCTGTCTTCTTTTAGTCATGTTTATGAATTGAGTAACATTGCTATGCTTGAAAATTTCTCCAGGAATATTATTGCTCTGTGCTATAAATGTTGAAATCTGCTTGTAAATTATATCAAAATAAAACTGTAATGAAGAAAATGAAATAATAAAAACAATTTCTCCATACATAGTAGTCGACATTCATAATTCCAATAATTGATACGGTTTATTTAAACAGTACTTGTTTATTTTTGGCAATTTTATTTAAAAATTGTGAGTATTTGATTGATTATATTTTTTTCGAAGCTGCTGTTAAGTATTTTGTTCGCCACTAGCGAGCGTGTATGGCGATGTGCTATCCACACGGAGTCCTGAACCCATGACCGCGAGGCCGGGACGCTGCTGGTAGACATTAGCATCGCGTAGACATCGCATTGAGTTGGTGCGCCATAGTATATGCATACTACATACTAGCCGGCTTGTCTTTGGCGCAAACACAAAAAGTTAGTCTTAGCATCCCCACGTGTGCCGTTTATCCTATAGGCCACGTGTGCCACGAATGCCTTTATTCGTATTCGCTTCGCGTCTGCGCTCATCGGCTCTAGTGCCAGCGACTGGCGGTCCAGCTTCTTGCTTTGCAGACGCTCTCGCCGGCACTCGTCTTTTCCGCTCGCCACCCGGCACTTCCCTTGCCTCTCCCTCTCGACCGCCTTCGCCGCTTTTGAGCCGCGCACCAACAAACCTTGCTATGAAGTCTAAATCCGGGTTTGCGGCCGAGGCGGCAGCGCTGCACGCTGTGCGTTCGGCGCTCGGCGCTCGACTTTTATGTTGATTTCTCGGCCTTTTCGGGGAACAGTCGCCTTCGCGGCAGCCGTCCAACGGATAGGGAGAGAGAGAGACAGAGAGGGAGAGAGAGAGAGAGAGAGAGAGAGAGAGAGAGAGAGTCGCACGCACGGAGAGAGACGCACGGAGAGAGACGCACAGAGAGAGACAATTGAATTGAATTGTTGTCGTGGCGAGACTCAGACCAAGAGGCCTGCTCTTCCGTCTGACCACGCAAATTCCTCCACGCTCCTTTCACCAACTAGCAGAGAAACGGGGTAATTATTGGGCGACGAAGTAAGGGGGTGAATCTTTTACATGCAAAATAATGGTGCAGCTGGCTTTACTTCCCCCCCCCCCCGGAAGAAAGGGCTCACGAAAGAATTTTTCCACCCTTCAAAATCTACGGTTTCAATCCGTTTGAACCCGCGATCTGTGATATAAGAGTCCATTATGCTACCGTAACACCCTCGCCGCTGAAAGAGAAAGTGAAAGACAGAGCAGAGAAAGAGAGTGTGTGGTGGTGTGTGTTGTTGTGTGTTGCAGCAGAGAGAGAGAGAGAGAGAGAGAGAGAGAGAGAGGAGGTGAAGCGTGGGAGGAGCGAGAGTGGGAGGCCGGACGGAAAGGGGCGGAGGCGTGACCGCGATAGAAGCGTGGGCGCCTTCCCAGGCCGCCACGGCAGCACGCGTACGTCAATCAGCAGGGCTCTTCGCCGACCATCCGGCGACAACGGACAAAAGGATTGCAGCAGGTATAAACAGCAGCTTTGCGCTGCGGCCTTGGCGCAGTGGGAAGGCTCCCATTTAAAGGTATATTCTGCTAGCGTGGCGGGTACGCATTCTCGCTACGCGCTACAGAGAGCCGCCACGCTTCCCAGCAGCGGGCAGGACGCCTCTGCACGTGCGAAGGGCCCTAGACGCCGTATCCCACGCGCGGCCGCGGCGCGCTCCTTCAGTCAGCAGGAGCACTTCCGACGCACGCGCCGGAGCACGCCGACCGCCGCCCGATGGAAGGGGTGGTCTGGAGGGTAGGTTTCGCCGATTCCCTCCGTGACGACGACAAAGGGACCGAACAGTAAACGCTGCGGCCGGGGCGCGATGGGAAGCCCCATTTAATGCTTTCTGCTAGAGTGCGGCAGCCCCTCCTCCGCTTGGCGGTAGCGGAGTTCGGCCGGCTGCCCGCAAGCCAAGCCGCACACCGCTGCACGTGGAAGGCTCCATCGAAACCAATGCTCTGCTACGGCCGCGCTGCTAGCGAAGCGCGCGCGGCGCGCCGTGGAAGGCTCTAAGGCTGGCATGTTCGCGACAGTTGATCGCGGTGTGGAGGGAACGGTTCGGGAGTTGCCAGAGAAAGGCCGCGCGGCGCAAAGAGCAAGCAGGGTGCTGAGCGAGCAGGGCGGGAAAGCGAGTTGCGGGGATGTGTGAGTCAGGAACGCGCGGGGTGGGAACGAGTACGAGTGGGTCAGTGACCACGACGAATAGACGCGCCAGGGGAAGAGGAGCAGGGGGGACGGGAACGTGCGGGGGCAGATCTGGTGGGCGGATGAGAGAAAAAGAGCGGAGAGGAAAGAAAGGCGTAGTGAAGACATCGAAGCGGAAGTTCGAGGTAGAGCTGCAAGAGAGGGCGGTGTGGAGCCGAAAACAAACTGACTGCGGCTGTAAATATTTATGACGCTCCCGGGTGCGTAACTACACAATTGAATTTTTCCTCCAGGCTTTCTTCCCTCAAGACGTCCTTTTGAGAGAAATATGAAACCATAAAGAATGATATTACTCCACAGTTTCGTAACTGAGATCTTTACAAATTGATTTTCTTTGATCTGAGTAAAATAAAAGCGCAATCTAAAACTTACTCACTGTACGTAGCGATGGAATTAGTCAAGCCGAAGAATTGAAATAAACTCTGGAATCAACCAGTGCTTCCTGAAAGGCTACTCATAATAATTCCTTCTACAACTGCTCCTGCATTTCATATAAGTCTGTTACATCAAAATATTATTTACTATTTTGAAGTGGAAAATAATATAAAAGTTTATTGTGAATTCTGAAAAAATATTTAAAAAATATGGGAAAGTTAATTACATTTAACAATAATAAAAACTTTTGTTTTTGTGCAGACACAAAACATACAGAAAATTCAGGAGAAAATCAATATGAAAAACAACTCCGTTCACAGATATGTAAACAACCGCTGTACTAAGTATGGTAATTTATCTCCGGCAGTTTGACAAATTCGTAATGAATCCTATTTACACAAACTGACGCAGCAATTGAACATTTGTGATACAATCTTATCTTGTTACACGGATAATTGCATTTTTGTATCCGAACGATCCTTTAAGCCCGATTAAAAGAGAGTAATACGATGATAATTTCAAAAACGATGGCAGGCGAGTCATGGGTCCATAGCTGTGCCTTTTACCTTTTAACGCCTACTCTCTAATTTTATGAACTTAACGTGGAACAAACATTGAAAAAAATGGAATTATTCTCGGTAATTATGATGGATAATACGTAATTTGTGACACTCATTTAGTATTTACCGAAAAGTTGCGTCCTAATCTTTTTCGTTTCGCGAATAGGCCAACTCGGACCACGCGTGCATCCTACTTCAGCAGGTTCAAGTACCTTTCTGGGCGGATCAGCGTTTTAGAAGAATCACGATTTTTATCCCCGAAGGTTGTTAGCCCTGGCGGTTAGGTTCTAATATTGAACTACACCATCATAATCCTATTATTAACATTATATGAGAGCTTGAAGAGACGAAATCGTTTCTCTTGGTTTTAAGGAACCCTGCTCCTTTTTACGAATCTAATTATCAGGCACATTGAATTTTTTAAAAAATCTCAATTGCATGGTTTTTAAAATTATTATTTCCGTGCTACTTGCATATCGTGTAGTGCAAGAGGAAGAGCAGTACAATATGCCCGGAATTTACAAAATATTCTGATTCTCTATGTTGGAATAAAACTTCGTCTCCCGGCAGCAAACGTTTATAACGATGCTGTTTTCCCTACGTTAACTGCTTCTCACAGAATACATTTAAATGTTTACTTTATACATGTTTTTTTACTCTGACAACTGAATATTTTCTCTGTGACAGCGACAACTGCAAGCGTTCAATTTGCCGCAGACAAATGGAAAAAGCGCACGCAACATCGCTGTGATAGAAACCCTGAAGCATTGCCCTCATTTTGCTCTACTCCTAAAGCGCCCAGTGTATCAGTCATAGCTGAACATTTATCCTCGGCGACGTCCCAGACTTTTATGAACTCCACGCGCAGATCCGGGCTCCCTGAGCAGTATTCGTATGGGGAGCACGTCTCCGGCAAATATTGCAACTGTCCTGTCCCTGCTGCTAAGGAACGTGCGAGCGGGAGTGCAAAGACGGGGAGAGGAGCTGGGCGCCGGCGCGGACGCCGAGAACCAGCGCTGTGGGAAGAGGGCGGAGGGTTTGGTTCCGAGGGGACGCGGACAACACGAAAATAAATTACTTTTATTTTCTCATTAGTCGTCTCCGCCACAGCTCGACGATTGTAGACGCTGGGTCGATCGTTGTTTCTGTGGCCTTGTCCTTTCTCGATTCTGATACTGCATTTCCTTCTATCTCTTTCGTTGATTTTCTTTTCTCGTTCCTGCCTGTGCCTAGTAGGTTCTCATTTTGATTTGTCGGGTCCTTTGGGTAAAAAATATGTTTTCGTTTAATTTTATTTTATTTTTAATTTAATTTTTTTATAGGTTTACGTACTTATGGTGTGTCTTCACAAACTCTTTTAAGACTATGATTTTGAACATATTTACTGAAATTCATTACGTACTGTTAAGTTACATAAGTTATTTCTGTTGCATATTGACTTTATTTCTTCCATATTCGTGACCGAGCATGCTTCACACTATTTGCATAAAGATTTTAACCTATCATGCTTTTCAAAACTCAATAGCTCACTCACAATCTGGAATAGTTTGGAATACACGATGGCCATCTCTGTCTTTAACGTAAAAGTGCACATTTACTGATATTCACTACATACTGTAGAGTTACGAAAGTAATTTCTGTTGCATATTTATTTCTTCCATATCCACGACATGCTTCACACTATTTTGCATTAAGATTTCAAGCTAATGACTCAATAGCCCACTGACAATTGCATCCCAAAACATTAAAACTGCTGTCTTGAAAAACTATATTCTACATGTTTACTTTATTTACTTCTTTAAAAATAACAAAAACCTGTTTTTTTGTTTCATCCCTATTCATTTGCATACGATAACATTGATAAAACGACATGTATAATCATGCGATTTACTATGCGATTTGAGACAGTTGTGACTCTAGCCTCAATTTCTGAAAATATATGAGTACTTTTTCAAAGCAAAAAAACCTAGCAAAGTTGAGAAAAGCTCAACAATAAATTTTTAATGTTTTACAAATACATTCACTGAAAAATCTTATCTTTAAAAATTGAATTTTATTGTGGATGCTACTTTCGTCGTTTTTATTAGATATAAGAAGGTATTAAACAAATTTTGTTGCAATTTCAAACATTATTTTCCTTTTACTATCGTAATGATTGTGAGCTACAGAAAGAATCTTCAGTATAACGAAAACGCAATTACAAGGCTCGGAAATCGTATAAACTTTACCCAAGATCCTTTCAAGTATTATTTTTCTTCACCCCTTGAAAACCGTAAAGAATTTTACGTCATGACCTAAAAAATATTCATTTCTCACCAACATAATATTTCCCCAATGTCAATCGCTGTAAAAGAACGTCTAATTGAAACTTTGACTCAATTTCATTCTGATAATCATTTTTGGACGTCTGAGCTTTGCCGTCAATTGAGCAGAGATGTAGATAGGACCTTTGACGATTCTTTTTTTTTTTCTTTTTCCATTCGATTCAGGGGTGTACATCATTTTACTTTGTGTGTGGCTGGCGATTGTAGAATATTAAAATAAATTGTTATAAAATGGAGGATGCCAGATATTTTAGAAATGTTCAAATAGTTTCTTACATGAAGTTCCATTTAACAAAATTTCTTGCTAATATGAAACACTTGAAGGAACAGAATGGTAAAGTATAATTTAAAAGTAAGTGATTTTGAAACGGCAGCAATTTGGCTGTTTTCAGAATGAAGTGAATCAGAAAGATGCCTGTAATGTTCTAGACACTCTATCATACAGGGTGATTCAGTCCCTGTTGCTCATACGCCGGGACCGTTTCCCATATGTAATGTAGGGACTGATTTTACAAAAATTGGATACTCTTCTTCGGTTAGGTTTGCAAATAATTAACGTTAAACTTGGAGTGTGCGCTTGTACTCGTGTAACACTGGCAGCGGCAAGTGAGCAAGCGGCTTCACCTCGCGTTAAGACTCGCCACTTCTCTGGAAAACTCAACTGCTAATACTGAGAAGCTCCGGAAGCGAGTTCAAGACAAATAGCGCTGGAGTCAAGACATCACAGTCCCTCGTTTGACGAAAGGAAATCTTGTATGTGTAATTTAATATCACATGTCAGTTCTTCACATCACTGAGACCTATAAACACTTCCGCATGTAAACCAAGTAGGCAGCGTTATGGAGATGGCTCGTAGTGGCACTTGGAATCGACATGAGTTGGGAACCAAAGCGAACGGTCAGGAGGCTCGCATGTGGTGGTCCATAGGCCAATTAAAAGGGCCTTCCTTCCCCTGTCCACAGGCTGATCACAGCGCCTCTCACTCGTAACCACGACGGAGAAACGATCGGGAACGAAATGTTTTTTTTATTACGTGAAAACCCCCACCCTGTCACTACACTGTGAGCTTCGACCCCGCCCAAGCAGGTCTCGAACCGGCGTCCCGCCGCATCCCCCTCGCCTCTCCCCTCGTCCGCTAGAGACCGCGACGACCGGGCCGGTGACAGCCTCACCGACCTCGCCCCCACCCTTCCCGGTCTCCTGGCCCAACGTCAGCGCCCGGGGCTCGCCCTTTGCCCTACGCCGACCTGTCGCCGCCGCCGCCGCGCCCGTTTCCCTTCGCTTTTTCTCCCTCTCCGCTTCTCCTGCAGCGCACTAATGAGAGCCCGGCCGCCGGTGGCGGCTGCGTTTCCATAGCAACGGGCGGCGACGGTTAACAAAGCAATCGAATGCCGCGGACATCGATAGCTCGAAGCGGTTTCGCAGAAGAGCGAGCGTGCGTGCGCGCGCGCGGGCGTTCTGCTGCCCTCCGGTCCTCGCCCCCTCTCGTCGCCCTCCCGAGGATCCGAGAGGGAAGCGAGGAAGGGGAAGGAAGCGTGTATAAATTTCCCTGTTCCTTCCAGCGCCGCGACTTCCCATCGCGGGTTTCTCTTTGTCCTCCGGAGGTCGGCGAGCGAACGTGTCCTTTCCAGATCCAATTTCCGGGGCGATAGAGATAGTCATTACAAGAAAGAGGTCGCTCTATTAGACTTCGCAGACGCCTTCAAATAATAAGTGCGCGGAACACAAAACCTACGTGCAACTGCATTGGTATATTTTTTTCAACAAGATAAAATAGACGTAGTTGTAGTTAAATGTCAGAACTCTTCGGGCGTGGGGAGTATCGGTTCAGAAACTTTGAATTCAATTTTAAATGAACGGTGAATTAGAATGGATAAAAAGGGGGAGAAGTTATTATTTTTTGTAGTAATTGTGAGACTCCTATGTGAATGAGATATATAGAATGATTCTTAAATTAAATAATTTTAAATATTGCAGTGCCCCATATCCATCGCTAAGTCAAAATAAAGAAACAGTATTGCACCTAGTAAATGCACGATTTGTTTTACAGATTCTCTAGACAGATATTCCAAATGTTACTACAGATTTGTTTGGTGGGAGACACAAAACAAAATGATGAATAAAAATATCGCTTATTGAAATACTAATGAGGTGAATAGAAAATAAACAAAAAAACTAACAAAAGGACATAATACATGTTGGCATATAATTTTGCCTTGTTTACGCTGAACGTACGTTGGGAAACGCCATTTCAAATACCCCCTAGAAACATTGCATAAACTTGAAGTTTGGGATTGTCAAGTCGGAAGTAAAGTGAAGGGGGATCTTCAAAATTAAATGAGGAAGGAAACACATTTAGCGCGTAAATTACTCCACTCTGATTTAAGTTACCAAAACACTGTCAAACACCCCATGTCCCTCTTATTTACAGAAGAGAACGAAGTATTCCAGATTCTTGAAGTAGGAAAATGTTACCGTTGAAGTTCCTCAAAGTGCAAAGTTTATAATGCATAAAACTGTCCATTGTTAACAAGATCTGTGGTCCTGACAAATGTTTTGCATTATTTGTGTATTGGGGAGTCTTGACTAAAGCGGGGAAAAATACTGACCTCCTGAAATTTCTCATTGAACAAAATTCACTTATATAATTCTGCTTACGTAATTTCACAAATGGGAGAAATATCATTAACTTTAAAAGTTTGTGATTTTGCAATACGTACTTTATTTGCTCCTTTTAAAGTTAATGTTCATAATTGTCAAAACTTGCGTCAGTTCTGATACATAACTAGAAATCTCATACTTTCAACGTTTTCATTTTTAATCAGTTAGACTTATTTTCCACGAGTTAGTTTTCTTGCAGATGTATTCACACGCCTCGTTATTCCTAAAAAGTAACTGGATGCTTTCGGAAAGTGTCTTGAGTGAGAGAAATTTTTGAACTAATATTTTATAATTCCGTCGAAATGACATTTTCGTTGAAATACATGCAATATCTAACACAAGATGTTTTAATTACTGTTGTTAATTTTGTAATTATGAGTCACATGCGTCTTTAACCCTTGTTAACATGCAACCCTATAAGTGTGTTAAGTGCACTTGTTCCTACCTGCAGGTTAAGAAATTTAAAATCCTTAGCAGCGGGTTTTAACATCCTTAGTAACCTAAATAAACAACCACCCATTTCATTGCAAGTACACATCGCAAGTGTACAGGTATATTGTTGAAATAGATATATCGATTATCGTGCCGCAGCAAGTGAATTCATGTGTTTCAAATCGCCAAAGGTCTAGAATGATCTAGAATGTAAAATTAGCTGTAAGAAAAAGCCCCTCCTCTAGCTGCTTAAGCCACAAGGCAGCAGTACAATGTGCAAAATTTAAAGAGAATTAATTCCCCTTCTTCACAGGGTTACTGTGGAGGGGACAAAAGAAAAAAATATCGCCAAATTAAATAGTCCAAATTAAAAACCTAGTTTCCGCTACCCTCCGTCTCGATTTTCAACTTTTGGCATCGACAGTAATAACGCTCATAACTAGGTACGTTAATAGCTATAAAGCTACACATTTTAAAATAATTAATGAAACGTTTTCCTCAAAGGCTGCCTGCCCACGAGGAGCGACCATAGACTCCCTCGATCTCCCGCGTCACGTGGAATCGGGTGGTACGCGGCTGAGCTTCTGCTCGCGGCCCGCCCGCGCACAGCGCCACCTTACACCCTCCGGGCGCATTAGCCAATTGCAGGCGAGGAGCGCGGGCGGGCGGGCGCGCGTCGCATAGGCGGATGGGATTCAACAGCCGAGCGTCGCGTCGCGCACGTAACGAGACGCCCCGCGCAGCAGCCACAAGAGCCTCCGCCCCCCACCCCCCTCCCCCGGCAGCCGCAGACTTCTCGTCAACCATCGCGACGCCGCGCTTTTATGGAACTCGTATAAAGTTATACGTTTCGTTGTATATGTTTCACCGGGATCTTCCTACTCCTCCTCCTCCTACGACGACGACGACAACGACGGCGTCGGCGGACGTTATAAAACTTTCAAATTCTCCTGCTCTCCCCGTTACTCCCGGCTTATTACGTACGGATAAAAAAAATACCTCCCGCCCCCGCTCGAGCCTGTGTTTGCTGATAAAAGCGAGCGCGCTTCACCGCACGCTCCCATCTGTCACGTCCCGGCACTCCCCCCCCCAACCCCCACCCTTCCATTCCACCTCACCTGGCCGTGGAAACCCTCCCGCCCTCACGGAGCGTGGCGCACCTGGGCTGGGCACGGATAGTTTCATTATTGAAACGATTTATCACTCGCGCGCAAGACAAAGACTGTCAATTTATCAAGATATATTCCGTTTCTTAAGGAAACAAATGATGGTCCGGTTTGCGCGTTTGTACAAGAGCGTGCGAGTGGAACGAATTTGCGAGGCGTCGTAATTCACACGTGTGGCCCGACCAGCGGCGCAGGGAAAAGGAGGAATGGGTAGGTAGAGAGAAACAGAAAGAGGGATAGAGAGAGAGAGAGAGAGAAGCGGATAAGGGGAAGGAGCGTTTTGAAAGGTGATTCTTTACCTTCGTCGCGTCGTTCATCCTGCGAATGTGATCTTGCAGAGGCGAGATGGAACAACGGGAGAATCTTGGCATGGATGCGGATAGAATTTTTGAAACACACGTGGTGGAATTACATTTTCAAAGTAAAAGTAATCCCCAATGCGTGAGAAAGAAAAATGCGTAGAATACTGTGAGTTCTATGAGTGACAGTAAGGATTTGATGGTAACCAGTTTCAAATAACAAATCGAAATAATTTGTTGACGAACAGCATATGCTTTTTGTATGACATTGATTCACGAATGATGAAAAGAATACTCCACTCTCTTCCCACTCTCTATCAAAAACAATAAAAATTTCTGGATTTTTTGAACATTGTAAATTTTTAATAATTATCCTATAAGTATTTGAAGTTATCATTAAATGATGATGTATTAAATTACCAATGTATTGGTGATTAATGTAGCAATAATCCAGATAAGTTGACTGCAACTGATATCAGTGGATTGCCTTTGACCAGGAGGTAGTAGGGTTCGATTTCCTACTTCATTGGCAGGATTTTCCGTCACTACATAGGTAGGTGTAATTCAGCCTCTGTCTGCAGGAGAATTGTAGCGCCCGGCTGCTTTCATTGGTAGTTTTTCCTGGTTTTTCAAGTCAGTTTTCTCAGGCCGCAGAGGTACTCTAACAAACGAGTAAGGGACCGCGCGCAATTTTTACCTTCCTCTTCCTCGCATCTCCTTTTACACACACACAAACCACTTACATGCACTGTATTACTATACATGTGAAGAGAGCTTGTCCCGCCTGAGGCAGTGCCTTGCTGATGCGAGATACATGGATGGGGAAAACTCCGGGACTTAACGTGTTGGTCGATATCGGATCCCACTATCTAGCGAGGCAAGAACACCGCCACCTCCTGTGATAAAAACATGCACTACACTTAGATCACTAATGTCTATTGCGTTATAAAACACGAAATAATCAATCGTGGAGCTACATGCTATGAGATGATGTTAATAACTAAAAATAGTTTAGGTAGTAACTCTTCGGAGCGACACAGGGAATAAGTCCGAATTAGAAGAAGAATCTGCGCAGCAGCGCGAGGCATGTGAAGTTAGTCTTCTGCGCGAAGTCTCCGATTCTTTAATTTGGTTTAATCCTCCTCCTGAGCGGGAGAGCTGGCAGCTCAAAAGGCTAAAAAGTCGTTAAAAGTCGCATTAAATTCACGATAGCGCTGGTAATTTAAATCACGATCGCAAAATCGAAAACATTCCAGCGTACATAAAAATATATGTAACTGCGTTTCGGCAATTTCACACTGAATATTCGAGTTAGTAGCTCCATTTTCTCCGGCCGTCAGAAAATACGACGCAAAAGTAGGAACCGGTAACGGAAAAAGACATTCGTAGATGGCGATGTAATTTTGGATGGGCAATAAAAGATCTGAAACGGATACTGCTTGAATTTCTAGGCACATATAACCAAATTGATATATTTTGGTCATTTGTTTCGCCACTTATATTCAACGGAAAACTGTTGAAGATGTAATAAATCACCAAGTTTGCATTACATTCCACAATTTTGAGTATGATTAGAAATATGCAATTTGATTCTTCTCACTTAAAGGAAGCTGCGCTTAAGGGATAAACTGCGTTTTTCTTCGAATGTGGGATATTTAGTAATAACAAAACATATATAATTATTACACACAAATTTCAAATATTGTTATGTGCATGTCTTGTTGCTTATTCAGACAAGAATTAAATGCAAAATACTTCCCACGTGGAACTCATGAGCTTGTAGCAAACTTTCGAACTGAAGGATGTGTTTATTTGCAACATACTTTCGACCAATATTTTACATATTTACCTTTCAGTGAGTTTCGACACGTCATATTTTACTTCAAAATAATCGTAAAACATATGTAGTATGATACGTTTATTCTTCGTTCTACAGCATTTATTTATATTATTATCTTTTACAATTAAATATCTACACTATTTGGGGGAAATAACCATATGCTTATTAAATTACCAATTTTATTCCATATATTTTTCAAAACAAAATTATAATTATGAGTAATTATCATAAGTGGATTTCGGCAACTCTACACAAAAGTTAAGAGTTGTGTAATTTATTCAACATCTTGAGAAATTGTGTAAAATTGAACAGGAACTGATCACATTAAAAAAAGTAAATTGGAAAGATTTTAAAAGACAATTCTAATGCGATAAAAGAGTGGCAAAGAGACTAATAAACTTTCGTGTTTAGCAAAAGGACTTTTAAATGAAAAGGGAAAAATAATAATACATTTATGTTTAAATGTGAAATCGTCGTATTTAAAGTTTTTTTGAAGCTTTTATTTGTTATGAGTAGTTTGTGATAGGAAATGTAGTGTTTGATAAACATTTCCTTTGTGATTGTGGCCATAAATATTAACAAATCAATATTTTTGTTTCAGGTGAGTAACTTCAACCTTCATCTAGTCTTACTAACAAGTGATTTGCTCGAAGGCAAAGGTAAGTTTGGAAGTTCACAAATCACATAGCATATTATATTCAAAATGTTTGATTTTTGTTGTATTTTTTCTTGAATATGTTTCTGTGTAGAATATTTAAATTTGTTAGTAGCATTTTCTAAAGTTTTCACTAATTAGCAATTAATTTTACTGTCAATTAGACAATAGTCAAGTCAAATAACAACCTGAGATGGGTTTCACATTGTTTCAGAAAACAGTTTATGACGATTGACCCATTAGTATGACTTCATCGAAAAAACTAATTATTGTTGAGATAATTGAGTTATTATTATTGTTATTATTATTATTATTATTATTCTCTATTTAGAGTAAAAGAAAATTAAAGTAGGTATTAACACAATAGCCACGTTCAAAGGGCAACTGAAGATGGTACACTGAAAGTACGGTCGAAATACACATCCAAAAATTAAAGATAAATACAGCCCATCAAAACCTTTGGGTTGCTACATCAAAATCGTAATGACGATATGACATTTGGCAGGACATGAACTCCTGTGGATAAAGCAATAAACGTAAAATTGCATAAAAAGCATTTGGAAACTGAGTCCAAAGTAATTAGTTAATAGTTAGCTATACTACACAAAGCATTGTGTACTGGATACATAATATATTGTTAATACAAAAAAGGTCTCTAGATATAACAGTACTATTTTAGTAAATTAACAAATTTATTTTATAGTTTTATTTATTAATAATATTTTAAAATAGCAACAGCGTAACAACACCACACAATACAAAAAGAAAATATTTGTATGTACACTCGCCCAAAGGAAAAAAATCGTTGGGAAATTGTATCTTCGCAACCGTGCAGCCAATCTTGAACAACCTTTGACAGGGGAGTGCTGACCAATCGCTAGATCTTAGAACTTTAGTGATGCTAGGCGCCAAATCCCAAGGGGCGTACGGACGGGGCCTCGTTGGTTCTCATTAGAGGCGGATACCGTCATCTCGCGCTGTTGGCGCCCACATTTTGACTGCGCTCACGCCATAATGAAAGAATATTTGTGAGTGGAAGTTGTGCGTCGAGGATTGGCATCAACAGTGCAGTGAATACTCAGCATTTTAGTGAGTATTTAGCATTCAAACCACATTTAGCGATCAATTTGTAACTTCTGACGAACTTGCTAGTTTGTAGTGTTCAACTCGAACACAATTATCGGACCCACCCAGTGGATTATATATTTATTTTATGTGTAAGATTCAAAGAACATTGGATGTGACATTATTTTATTTAGATGCTATAATTAGTATCTTGTATACTCCTTCAAAACTAACTCCAAACAAACCATTTTGACAAGGCATTCAAATCCTTTTCACTTAGAGTAGAGAAGTGGCATACAAACGTAAATGATTAACATCTAGATTTTGCATAACTGGTTAGACAAAATATCGAAAGAATAACGGTAAAACGCTTTTAGGGGAAATTACAGTAAAATTATTTCAAGACACCGGAGACTGAACATTTCACATTGAATCTCATTATTCAAAACGATGGCCATACATACTCTTTTAACATTAAATTAATAATACTCGTATAACATTAAATTACACATAAATAATGAAAACAATTGTAGTTCAGAAGACTTTTCAGGAATTCCGGCACTTTTCATTTCACCATCGTAGGAATTGAGATCAACAGTTTACAGTAAACTCGACTTCTTCTCAACCTCTGCTTCCGTAGCCCACTCATGCAATGGAAATCAAAAATTCTGGAGCTCTACACATTGCACCGTCATGAACGTCCGCAGCCAGGCATCATCTCGTCCCTTATAACAATCGCACCCCCCCCGGTTGCGTGGGGTTGTGGGCGGCTGTTTACCTGTGCGGGCCCAGCGGTCATTCGGAATGCATCGAAAAACAATTCGTTTTGTTTATTTGAGTCGACTGCCCGGCGGCCTAGGGCAACACAATGCGCCTGCATGCGCCGTGATTGGCGCCGGTAATAAAAACCTCGGCGCAGGGTAATTCGAGCATGCGTGGATATCCGACCTGCTGCCCCGTCTCGCCCCCCCCCACACCCTCGCATCTCCTTCACCACCACCCACTCGCAATGCCCCCCCTCTCCACCCGTTATCGCTCCGCACTGGCCCCACGCCGAAAGGCATGCGTGGCAAGAAGATTAAGATAGAAAGTAGAATCTACATTTTCAGAAATATCATTAAATCTAATGTCTATTAAAGTATTCATGTACTACATGAAACTTACTGTAAAAGTGTTTAATATATTGTATAAAAATATACTAAGCTCTTTTAAATGTATATAGTATCAAATTTAATGTAAGAATCAATGTATGCAATAAATGTCATGTATACTCGTAATGTACGCATTTTTGCATAAATTAAAATCAGTGACCATTTAATGTAGATGCTTTCCCGTATTTAATGCCTCTCATAATTCATATCATATGTTCGTAATAACTAGCCCATCGAGATAATTCATTCATTGCTTCCAGATATGACTATACAACTTTGACTATTGCATCCTAATGTACATGTGTACATTCAATTTTATTTGGTTTTAAAATAATATGAAACTTTTCTTTAAATTAATGCAGAAATTTCAGAAAATATAGTGCTTTGCCATGACAGTCATATTGTAGCTCATATAGCGACCGCATAATTTTCTATTCCTAGTGATTTTGATAGTCGTGCGTATTTTAAATATTTGAACCATCGTTGACAAATCTAATTTTATTAAACATAAATAACTCGACCTCCGATTTTTTAATTTTAAAAATGTCCTAAAATATTCCAATAGTTTCAATGAACATGAGTGTTTTGCTTGCACAAAGTAAAAAAGATCGCAAAGCGAAAGAATCTCGGAAAGTTATTATTCACTTTCCAAATAAGATTAAAGTTTGTTATTCAAAAACTGATTAGAACTCGTGTTATTAAAATTCATTTAAAACAGTTTGAAATACAATAAAGTATTGGTTGTAAACCGTTACATTTAATTATCTCTAATGACACACATTTAATAGGCGTCTTTCTTGGTGCTCCTTTCAATAAAATCTTAAGACCCAAAATATATAAAATAATTTTTCGTAGTTATGCACGGTTATATTGGCTTTTCGAATCCAAATAAAGAAACGGAAAGCTTTTAACAAACAGCTTCAATTAAAGATTTTAACAGATCGTCGTTCAAAATAAACAATATAAACAAGTGAAGATACCATATTCAACTCCTAGGCATAAAATAAAATTTCTTATTTTTTTTTCTCAAAATAAGAAGGTAGTTACAAAAAGTATGGAACGGCACATGGCTGATATCACAAGCAATGGGTATGTATGTACTTGGCGCGACAGCCCGTGAACGAACTCAGACCTATCGGCAACGTCTCTGCCTCGCGGCCATGGGATAAGAAGGGGGGTGCGTGTGGTTACCACGTAGGCATCTCCACACCAAATTCCGGTCTTCTAAACCTGAGAAGTGAATTTTCTCATCGTCACACCGCAACATATACGGGACATTGCAAGGAAAGCGCAAACTATAATCTTGCTTGACCGGGAATCGAACCCGGGGGTCGCGTAGTGGAAAGACAGCACGCTGACCAAGAGCTGACCCCGAGGCTTTTTCGGTCTAATAACCTTAACATAATATTACGTAAGTTGAAAAGCAGACCATAATTATTGGTCGCAATTTCACTCGCAAATTGTCCTGTTTCGGGACACTGTGCGCCTCTGGCTGTGGCCGCCGCCGGCCCCCCGGGGGTGGGGGGTGGGGGGCGG